CTAAGCATCTTAAATAATCGTAATTAAATTGATTACTATTCCTTAAGTTAACACGACTTTTTCTTTTATTGATCAACCCCCGATAACATCATATCTCATGTTTCACTCCAATATTTTCTTGAAATATTATTAATAATATGACGTTGTTAAATATTAATTGTTGCTTGTACATTTTATAAAAATATGTACTACACTTCACATTTTCTTGAATAATAAATATTTTACCAAAATAATTAAACTAAATAGTTCGCAACGTAAATAATGTTTTGTGACCAAAACGTCTCGTTTAAGATTTGCAAGTAAATAAAGGTGACAACATGTCACACACGTATAAATATAACGGTCATTCCATAACTTTAAAGTTCAACATAATTAATACTCGAAATAATGTGAGAATACCAATTTTCCAAGTATAAGGGCATTTCGGTAATTTTATAAAGCAAATACGTAAGTATCGCTAAAATACCAATTTCCACATTGTAGGGTCATTTTGGTAATTTCATAGGGGTTAGATTTAAAATAACACTTAGATGTCAATTCCCAAGACATTGGGTCATTTCGGTAATTTTATAAAGCAAATACGTAAAGTATTGCTAAAATACCGATTTCCAAATATATGGTCATTTTGGTAATTTTATAAAAATAATAATATAAAAATGAAGTTCATAGGCCAATCCCCAAGACATAAGGTCATTTCGGTAATTTATGAAGCAAATACGTAAAGTATCGCTAAAATACTGATTTCCATATTGTAGGGTCATTTTGGTAACTAAACGAGATAAATAATCGAAATGGGGTCAAGGTTTGCATTTTAAACAAACTTAACRAAAGTCTCATAAAATTATTATGATTATTTCTGGAAATTTAAGAGACTAAATGCTAATTTTTGAAACTTAAATATGTAATGCATATTAATAATAACAGCGAATAATAAATACAGAATATAAAGTTAGCTTGTTGGTTAATGCTTTGAGGCTACTTGGTTGAGGTCGTGGGTTCGAGTCCCACCCTCACCATGCCCTCTTATTCCATTTTTTTAAAACCAAACGGGACCGTGACCCAGCCCAAGGTACCACGAAATCAGTAGCCCAAACAGATCAGCAGCCCAACAGATCAGCAGCCCAAACAGATCAGCAACGAAAACAGTAGCCATTGCTGGTCGTTTTCAAGCTTTTCGAGCTTCAAAATTGCTCTTTTTTGACCATTTTTCTTCATTCTTTTTGCGCCAAACTCTTGGTAATATTTTTACCAACACTTTGACATAAAGAATACGAATTTTCGTCAAGAAATGAGTCCCATTTACTCATTTAAAGTTTGTTTTTAAAACTAAAACTTAACAACTTAAAAACATAAAAATCGAACGACGAAAACACAAATATGAGATATGAGGCTACTGGGGTTTGATAGAGTACTGAAAAACGAAGTCATAGACATAAAAATAAGAGATTTGGTTAAAAATCTCACCCAAAATCGGTGAAAAACCGAGATTTTCGATCCCGAACTTCAAACTCCGATTTCTCTCTCAAAACTCAACTATTTTTCGAGATATTTGAACYAAAACGATCATAAACCGGTGTTCTATATTTATATGCAAGAGTTTTGGCATATTAGTTGACGAAATCGGACCAAATCGCGTTTCTTTTGCTGATGGGTCGTTTTCTTAAACAGACTTGTACTGTTGGCAAAACAGGCCCCTCATCTTTGAAAAAGATGACATTTGCTCCCCTGAACTTTCYGACATCTACCACCAACCCCCTAATTTCACTATTTTAATAAGACTTACACTTTTTACCCCTAAATCAACATTTTATTTCAATTTTGGTCATTTTTAAGTTTTAAGATTTCAATAATTATTTCTTCAACTAATCTCATAAATATTTTAACATTTCAAATAAATTTAATAAATAAAAATTATATAATTAAAGACTCGTATAATATATATATATATATATATTATATGTTATATAATTAAAATTTTGGGTTTTACAATGACTGCAGCTGACCTGTTGAACATCTTCTGTATATTCAGGAGCTGGCTCTGTTGAGAGATTCTATCAGTTTACAGGTGAAGACATATGAAGTTAACACACAATGCATTAGATGTTCATATGAAGACATATGAAGACATAGGGACACACACAGGCATATGAAGACATATGAACACATCAGAAATCACACAGCCTTAGATGTCGTGATTCATAAGTGTTCATGTATATTCAAGTCACTAGATGTTCACATGAATACATATACACACATAGAACATGTAAAAACATGTGAGCACGTATGAAAACACACAGCCCTAGATGCCTTGGTTCATAGGTATTCATGTACATACAACAGAGTTGGCTCCTAAATATACAAATGATGTTCATACGGTTCACATGTTGTTCATATGTCTAATCTTTTTTGTTTGACGTGGTTTGAGGATATACACAAACTGTTCATATGTCTGACAACTCGTGTATCAAAGATATATTACTTTTTATCTAAATACCCTTTGATATTTTGTTCATATATGTTAATTGAAAATATTAATTTAATAATTAAGTTTTAAATATCATTAAATCACAACCGTTTATTATTCAAATTAACGGCCAAGATCGGTTAACAAAGTTAACACAACAATCTTGGTTAGCATTTGAACCAACCCATATATATATATAGGGGAGCGATCAAATGCAAACCACTCA